AGATTAATTTTCAGCTGCCCTAAATGGAAGCCAAAACAAGTTTTTCTGTGTTGTAATGCTGCCTGTATGCAAGGACGCAGCTGGCTGCACCCTCTAACCAGGAGGGCCGGCCAGCGTGGGTGCCGGTCCCCCGTCACCTGCAGCCGCCTCTTCCGCTCACGGAGCTGCGGGGCATATCTTCCTGTTCATAGTAATTGGATTTTAAAGTGACCTTGTCTGTGTATTGATTTGAATTAAAATTTTCTACGTCAAGGTCAAGTTGGCACATATCCTACCGTCGAAATGGTAAAAGGCAAGCGCTGCCTAACGGTATCGACAGGAGACGTGGAGATGTAACAGGGCCAAGTTTGCCTCCGAGGGCACCACGATGCCTTTCTGAGGAGGTGGCGAGTGGCAGATCTGTGTGGGGACAACCTTTGCCTGGGCTTGAATCTGCCTCCTGCCTCTTTGTGGGAAGGGTGCCCCTGAGCACCTCAGGGCCCAGGTAATGCTGCTCCGACGTGTGTTCAGGATGAGGTTTCGGCTCTTCTGAATTCACACAGGCCACCTTGAGAAAGATCGTTCATAACCTTGAACCATCTAGCCAGGGCCGCCTCTGTGAGTCCCAGTCCAGCCTGCCCATTGCACTCTCTCCAGGCAGCTCAACAGGACCTGAAACGTAATAAAGGGGAAGTTTTCCCCCCTCTCCATCCTTCCCCTCTTTTCACCTCATCTCAAACAGCAAAGCCACCTACCTGGTGCTCCAGCCAGATGCCGAGGCTTGTCACAGAGCACTTCTGGGGGAGACCCAGGAGTCAGGGAAAGCCTGGGTGGCACCGAGCATGTTCCCAGGCTGCACCTGAGAGCACCTCTTGGGGAGTGCTCCGTGGGACCCGTGGGAAGTGCTCATCTGCACCACCACTCCGCCTTCCAGACCCTGTGGGAACTAGACGGCATTGAACCAAGTGGCTTTAGTGGTGCCAGACGGCTCAGTGGTGATGCAGCACCCCGCCCTGGAGTTCCTCGGGGACACCGTGGGCCCCACGTGCACAGCACTTACTGTCCTCCAGTTACTCCAGTCAGATGTCGCTTTACTACCCCCTCCTAGGTAGGCGCCGTATTTGGTGCTGCTTAACCTCTAAGACTTCAGTCTGCACCTTTAAAGATGGGAGAGTTGGCCCAGCCGGTGTGGCTCAGTGGTTGGGCGTCGACCCTGCACCAAGAGGTTGCCTATTCAGTCCCGGTCAGGGCACATGCCCAGGTTGTGGGCCCGATCCCCAGTGGGGGGCATGCAGGAGATGGCCAGTCGATGTTCTCTCTCATCAGTGTTTCTGTCGCTCCCTCTTCCATCTTCTCTTTCTCAAAGCAATAAAGGGAATTTTTTTTTTTTAATAAAGATGGGAGAGTTGGACAAATGATTTTTAAAATTCTCCCTAGCTCTAAAGTGACATGGTTCTCTGCTTCAGCATTTGTGCCCAGTGTGTCCCATGCTGCGAACACTGATCTATTCAGTAAATAAATGCTTAGTGGGATCATTCACTTTACCTTTTCCTTCTTCGGAATTAGCACAAAGGCGGAGGCTCTTAGTGCTGTGCTGCACGTGGCTCTGCCCGTCTGCGCTCCCTGCCTCCCCTTTCTAGCTACACTTTGAAAAGCAGCACTTAAAGTACCGCAGCCCTCTTAAGGATTCCTACGTACTAGACTTCACCTTGTTTGTACCTGGAAAGTAACATTTGTGGGTGGCTGTATGGTTGGGTTCTCTTTTTTTTTACCCTCCTTCTCCTGAAGCCAAGGTCAGCCACACACCTTAGTCCGAATGACGAACGCTGTTCTGCTCCCCACCCCCACGCGCGGCCTTGATGCCGGCCAGGCATGCCACACCTGGCCCTGGGTTCCTCACGCAGATAAGCCTTTGGTCAGCTCCCCTCCCGTGTATCCTAGACACACACAAAGACTGCTGGAGTTCAAGGTGTCTTTCCCCTGCACAAGCCCCGGAGGAACAAGGTCTCAAGTGACCAGTGCCTTTTACGGCCCACCGGGTTAGATCCAGTATCCTGTTTGCTAAGTGTAGGGTAGATAGCATTTGGTGGCAGAGCAGAAACACATATTTTTGCTACTATCCTAAACTTTGCTCCCACGTTGCCTTTCCTGTCTCATGACTTACCTTGATGGTGAACTCGAAATTCTCTTAACGGGCAGCTGCTCGGCAGGTAGTTGCTGCCCCACCAGGTAGGCAAGGCCCGACCAGCCCCAGCGGCCCGCATGCAGCCAGCCCTGCTAAGGAGCTAGGCAGTGACAGCATTTCTACAGGCACTCCCTGGAAGGTGGGTGACCTGCTGGGAGGCCCCGTTGAACACTCCTGGGCACAGACGTAGGGGGAGTATTAGTGAGTTCTTTGGAAATGTGCTGCTTAGTACAGAAGAAGGGTTACCTTGGCAACAGCAAGCCCGCTTCATTACCAGATGGCATTAGCTTTATTTGTGGTATCCCAGAGCAGTTGCCAAGAACCGACCTGGAGCCCTGTCGCTGGTTTTACCTGTGTCCGTGGCCAGCGTTGGCTACTTTGCAGGGGGCAGCCGTTGGCCTGTGTGTGCTGCATTGCCCTATCAGCCTACCGAAACTCCAAGCTTAATGTGACCTGGTGCGTCCAGATACATTGAAACTAGCAGAGTCCAGGTCCATGAGAGTCTGAATCATCGTAGAGCAGCGTGAGGGCTGAGAGAACGCCAGAGTACACGTGCCCTTCACCACACCCCCCTGCAGAGAAGCGAAGGCCGCGCTGCTGCGTTCATTCCTGCGCCACACCCATAGTTGCGCGTCCCATGGATCGTGTCCTATACTTCCTCCAGTGGGCCCACTGCACGCCCAGCCGAGCCTCAGGCAGTGTCCTTCACTTCCTCCAGGGGGCCCACTGCACGCCCAGCCGAGCCTCAGGCAGTGTCCTTCACTTCCTCCAGGGGGCCCACTGCACGCCCAGCTGAGCCACAGGCAGTGTCCTGTACTTCCTCCAGCGGGCCCACTGCACGCCCAGCCGAGCCACAGGCAGTGTCCTTTACTTCCTCCAGCGGGCCCACTGCACGCCCAGCCGAGCCTCAGGCAGTGTCCTGTACTTCCTCCAGGGGGCCCACTGCACGCCCAGCCGAGCCTCAGGCAGTGTCCTGTACTTCCTCCAGCGGGCCCACTGCACGCCCAGCTGAGCCTCAGGCAGTGTCCTTCACTTCCTCCAGGGGGCCCACTGCATGCCCAGCCGAGCCTCAGGCAGTGTCCTTTACTTCCTCCAGCGGGCCCACTGCATGCCCAGCCGAGCCTCAGGCAGTGTCCTGTACTTCCTCCAGGGGGCCCACTGCACGCCCAGCTGAGCCTCAGGCAGTGTCCTGTACTTCCTCCAGGGGGCCCACTGCACGCCCAGCTGAGCCTCAGGCAGTGTCCTTTACTTCCTCCAGCGGGCCCACTGCACGCCCAGCCGAGCCACAGGCAGTGTCCTGTACTTCCTCCAGCGGGCCCACTGCACGCCCAGCCGAGCCTCAGTGTCCTTTACTTCCTCCAGCGGGCCCACTGCATGCCCAGCCGAGCCTCAGGCAGTGTCCTGTACTTCCTCCAGGGGGCCCACTGCACGCCCAGCTGATTCGGCAGGCACAGAGGTTGTCTGACTTGCCCGGGTCACACTGCCTGGAATGTTAACTGGCTTCGAGCCATCTCACCTCAGTGAAGTGCTGGCAGGTTTGGGTAGAGCCTGGGCCACACCTCGTGGGCATTCTGCGACGGAGCTGTCGTCATCTTCGTTAGACAGGAGGAAAGTGACCTTCAGAAACACCTGACTCCAAAGCCTCAAACTGTCAGCCTTCAAAACTGTGAATATAGTTTCATTATTGGCCATGTTAAAATTTTGAAAAGCTCTGGTTCTATGTGTATTCAACCTAGATGAGCACCAGGGACCTCCCTGGCCCTGTAAAATATGAGAATTGACTAATTTCAGAGAGCTATGTGGAGTTGAAAAATAATGAAAGTAAACCAGAGCAAGGGGTTCATGACACTGTCTATAAACTGCTGTATAGCCCAGGATAGGCACAGGCCGTGGGGATGCCCAGTATATAAATGAATGCAGGATAAGCGAAAAAGTGAAAAGGAGAATATTTACCCTAATTCAGATTCATAAAATAAAAATAAAAAATTTTAACCTATGAAAATTGTTTGCTCTTCTTGCCCTGATTGTGGTCTTGAAATACCATCTCCCACTGGAAAGAGCCGGGCTGCTTGAGGGATGACCCCGGGCAGCAGTTGTGTGAGACGGCCTGGAGCCCCAGCAGGGAGGCATCAGGAAGACCAGGGTTGGGGAAAGAGTCCACGTCAGGGAAGTGCCCAGAAGCCTCAGGACAGTCTGGACATCAGTAAGAATGATAATTGCATCAGACAAAAACACACCAAGTATGTTTAAATCCATGAGCTTATAATAATGTTAGGGGGAGAAAAACCGATCCCCTCTACATTGGAAGAAAACTGAAGAACCCGATGCATTGTTTTAAAAACTGGTGAATACAGAAAAAGAATTGAGTATTTATCCTGTTTTTTCTGTCTAGGAAACTCTACCACTGGGTAAGCAAAGGGGAGATGAGAGGAAGTTTTTCTTACAAAAGTGCTCCAACTAGTATGTGAAAACAGATCACATGGGAATATGGCCATCTGGGACCCTGGTGGGTTAGGGGTCCCCTGCTGCCGGCGCCACACCGAGACCTGACCTCGCACACCTCCCTTGGCACACCGGAACACGCCCAGGGAGTAGTCTTGACCAAAAAAAAACACCTTGTGTCGCATCTAATCACCAATTAGATCACAGAAAGTACAGAGTGAGAAGAAACATGTCAGGTACACCACAAGGAGGCCGTCGGCAAAACTCAGACTGGAAAACTCGGGAAACATGACCCAGTTTCGTCAACAGATCAGTGGAGGGGAAATAAGAGAGAAGGATACCTTTCATTTCAGAGGGACTATGAGACATGTCACAGTGTGTGTCCCGTGTGCAGGTCCGGATGCTGTCAGCCCATCACAGAGTGTGTCCCGTGTGCGGGTCCGGATACTGTCAGCCCATCACAGAGTGTGTCCCGTGTGCAGTTTCGGATACCGTCAGCCCATCACAGAGTGTGTCCCGTGTGCAGGTTCGGATACCGTCAGCCCATCGCAGAGTGTGTCCCGTGTGCAGGTTCGGATACCGTCAGCCCATCACAGAGTGTGTCCCGTGTGCAGGTTCGGATACCGTCAGCCCATCACAGAGTGTGTCCCGTGTGCAGGTCCGGATACTGTCAGCCCATCACAGTGTGTGTCCCGTGTGCAGATTCTGATACAACTTTTACAGATGTGCCATTTAGGAGACTATTGGAAATTTGAACACTGACTGGACTGAGCTTTGATAATATTGGAGAATTTTTAGTTTTAGATGTAGATGGCATCACACAGTTATGCTTTGCTGTTTATCTTTTGGAGATACAGACTGATATATTTACACATGAAATGCTACCAAGGTTGTACTTGTTTCAAAATAATACAGAAAGGGAGAAGAAGGCGGGGAGGTCGAGCGAGGCAGCATTTGCCAGGCGCTGTGATTGTTGAAACTGGGATGGGCCCATGGGCGTTCTTCATGCCATTTCATTTATTTTTGTATATTATTTATAGTCTTCTATAATAGAAGATTTAAAGAAAGAAATTAAGTCGGTACTTGTGGGAGGGGATGGATTTTATTTTATTTTACTTGAATAGCACCTATTGCTAGCAAGAGCGACACTAAATAGGTTGTTCGTAACTTTCTGGTTTGTGGCATAACCCTGTGGTTAGCACTCAGGCAGATCATAGCAAAAACCTTAAAAGATTTGTACTATTTGCCTCAGTAATTACAATCTGCAAATCTATCCACAAATAATCCCAAATGTAGTGAAAGCTTTGTGAGCCAGAGAGTGTGCTGCAGCCATGTTTGTATCAGGGAAAACTTGGAAGCAGGGGTGCCCAGCACGCAGAAGGGCTGAGGGCAGCGCCGGCTGCCGTTCGTGTAGCCTGCACAGCGATGCGGAGCACGGCTTGTGTCACAGTTAACTCTGGAATACCAAATTCACTTTTTAAGGAAACAGTTCCTTAGTTATCCTTGCTTATTAGAAGAGAGAGTTCAAATGTGCAGCCGAAAACAGTGGCCCGGTTAGAGGAGGTCCGGCACTGAACCCCCTGTAGCCTACCGAGAGGCTATTAATTTCAGTGCTTCTAACTACAGCTCAGTTCCTTTCCCTCCCTCCCACCCTTCCTGCCAGTCACCTGCATGTCAACTGCAGAGAGAGTTGCTGCTTCTACCCTCGTGGTCTATTGGCACCCTTAACTAGTGATTTCCAGTTGTATGAGAAATGGCCCTTTATATGTTACATGGCATTGCCATAATTAAAAGTACTATATAAATCAGATGTTTTTATTAACTTTCTCTTAATCTAAATAAATGTATCATACCTTTTTCTTTCCTGGTTTATATTCTGTGCTGTTTTAGGTACACACATCCACTCAGAACTAGAAGTTATTGAAGGAACTAGGTATTAGGAATGTTCTCTGATACCCCGGACTAGTCCAGGAAAGAGGAAGGTTCTTTTCTTTTTAATCCTCACCTGAGGATATTTTTCCATTTATCAGCAGATAGAGTGGGAGGGAGGGAGAGAGAGAAACATTGCCGGGAGAGAGCCGCATCGACTGGTTGCCTCCTGCAGGATCCAACCAGGGCCTGGGATGAACTGCAACCGAAGTTCGTGCTCTCGACCGGAATCGAACCCGTGACTCGTTGGTCTGTGGACCGACACTAACTGCTGAGCCAAACCGGCCAGGGCAAGAGACAGGTTCTTACTGAGGAAAGTCAGCTGAACAGCGCAAGGAATGGGGATATAGAGAAAGGAGGTTGGGGGGCATCCCCCGAAAAACTGCACGTTGGGGTTGCAGGATGGGGACTGCTGTTCAGGCGGAGCCTCTGGTCCTACTCAGACCAGAAGGGCTCCTCTCAGCCAGTTCCGTAACGGCAGCCTCTCCGGACAGCCGGCCCGCGGGCCCTGGAGGGGTCCTGGGCTGAGTTTCCCTCCGAGGCCTCATCGAGGACATGGCAGAGGGCTTGGCAAAGCATCAGAAGGGGTGCTCGAGCCCCCAAGGAAGGAAGGTGCCGTTCTGTTCTTAGTGCTGAGGCTGGTCCGGCGAGCACAGTGGGCCCCTTTCCTAGTGCATGTGAAACTGCACCTTTTTAGGGTGGTTTTTGTTTTTTTAATCCAAATACTTCCTTAAAGCTCTAAAACAGTAAACGTACTTCAGTGTATTTGCAGGATCATGTCCCTTTTCAGAGATGAAATTCAGCTTTTTTTTTTAGAGGGAGAGAGGAAGGAAGAGAGAGATGGAAACATTGATGAGAGAGAACATCGATTGGCCGCCTCCTGCATGCCCCCCACTGGGGATCAGGCCCACAACCTGGGCATGTGCCCTGACCGGAAATCGAACCGGCAACCTCTTGGTGCAGGGGTCGAAGCTCAACCACTGAGCCACACCAGCCAGGTGAAATTCAGCTACGTTCCACCTACTGTCAGAACTTACTTGGTTCTGCTGGCCCCCTTCTGACCAGCATCCTAGTTAGTCCTACCTGGTGTCACCTGGGTCTCTGCTGTCCCCTCTGTGCACCATGGTATGCACAGGCCATGGCAGCCACGGGAACCTAACTGTGCTCACCGACTCCCAGGGCACCAGGGCCTGGGGAGAGCCAGGGGAGAGGTGCTCTCGGGCAGAGAGCAGGGACTGCTCTGTCCAGGAGGTAGTAAGCGTACGGAGCGTACCTGGCATCTATAAGTCAGAGTTACAGATACACTCGGCAGTTAGGTGAGCGGGGCCTGCACCATCTTCAAGTGGATAAGGAAGAACTGTGTTGTGGGAGTTTGTTCCTAAATGCTCTGGGATACTAGTGCAAGGGACAACCACACGCCCTCCCTCACAGCCTCCCTCGGTGTCCCCGGTGCGTCTCAGAAACAGGAGAGCCCATCTGTTTTCTTCTCGTGGTCTTGTCCAGCTTGGTGTGATCTGCATGTTTAGGGTAAGTGTTCACGTTTGCACGCTTGTGTTCTGCCAGGTGACCTTGGGGAAGGTGTTGAAAGTGATTGTCGTCATGCGGAGCCTGTTCATTGACCGGACGATAGTCAAGGGGTACAACGAAAACGTCTACACCGAGGATGGCAAGGTAGGTAGGCGTGGCAGCCTCCTGTCTGTTTCTTTTCTTCTCTGTGCCCCAGAACAGACGTCACAGATGCCCAGGTGAAGGGCATTAACGCTGCGGGGGGAGCGGAGCTGACCAGCAGGCGCAGATTTACGGCACGGAGATGAGCACTGGACAGAGCACCTCTCCCTCTGCATTTTTCATCAGCTCCTGCTTTCCGCTAAGCCGGTGCCCTCAGATGAATCTCTAATTTATCGCCTTAGACCCCAGTTGCCTCATTAAATGTGTCTTCTGAGGAAATGGATTTTCTTTTTTTTTTTTTTTTTTTGCCTAGTTGCACATCACATCAATAGCCCAGGGTTCAGCGTTTTGCTCTTCCTAGAACCATGAGGAAAATTCGAGTTAGTCTGACACAGGCGCCCACAGGCCTTCGCCACGAAGCTCGCACGCAGCCCCGGGCCGCTGCCGGGCTACAGCAGCTCCAGTGCACAGTGCAGCCGACGGAGTACGTTACTCCCTGGGTGGCTCGTCTCCTGGAAAGTTCGCCCTCATTTCCCGTGACCGCACGCTGTCCATATGGCTCTTGGAGAGCGTCAGAAGACGCTGATGGGAGCTGACAGCCTTCCTTTGTGTTTGCTTCCTGAGTGGCTGGGCTCTGGAGAGGGCCACCCGGACACAGCCGGTCGCTGCCCAGCACCAGGCTCAGCCTGCCCGCTCCCAGCGCTCCCTTCTCTCCAGGGGCGAGGGAAGCGCAGTCACACCCCCAGTCACGTTGTAATGAGGGGAATGTGCTTCAAAAAGGTGGCACCGGGCGCTTTGCACATACTGTCACTTTATATGTGAGGTCTGACCCATAAAGTCCAAAATCTGTATTTCAAACAAGTGACCCAGCAAGTCCACGTTCCATACTGGTGGTGTCAGCCTGGGAAGCTGGGGTCGGCCAGGTCTGCTGCCAGGCTCTCGCCTGCAGCGGCAAAGCACCCTTAAGGGAGACTCCCTTCTTCTTTCTGGAAGAACCAGACGATCTTCGGAGCCAGTGTGGAGGATAAGTAGGTCATCGGGGCAGGCGTGACCTGTGTGTGATGCATAAACTGAGAGACCGTAAACCTCGTAGCACAGCGAAGCGTTGCGCCCGGTGCAGACCGGCCACGAGCCGGTCGGCGGTAGCTTAGCCGTGTGGTTCCTGTTGCCTTTGATCAGGTTTGCAGCTTTATAGGCTCATCTTGTGCCCCAAGGACTTAAAGTGAAACGGAGAGGGAATAAGGGCATAAACAGGTGGGCGTGCTGTGAGAGGCACCCACGTCGGGTGCAAGTGCCACCACCCCGAATTGAGACTCGGTGGACGTTGACCTGCGCTCTCTGCACGAGGTCTGGAAGGTTCTGTGTACTTAACTGCTCCATACTGAAAGTGTCCAAAATAATGCCTGAAAAGCACTTAGCATTTTGCCACCTAGTAAATACTCAGTAAATGCTAACTAGGATTGTTTTTATTCTGCACTTAAAACAAGGTAGTTAGACAGCAGCCTCATTGTGTCCTGGCGTTTCTTTCTCTGCCCTCAGCTGCTGTGGGTGCCCAGCTTCCCAGGATCTCTGCGCATGCCTCTTGGCCGCTCTCCACCCCGTGGTTTCACGGGTCATCCGCACGGGCTCCCTCCTGACCCGTTGTGTCACACCTCTCCTCCCCAGGTGTACTCGATTCAGCCGGTCCCAAAGCTCATCATCTCCCCCCTAAACTGTTTCTGTCTGAGGTTCCTTATTTGGTTCATGGTACGAGCGTCTGATGGCTCAGTCCTTCCTCCCCTCTTCCCCGTATCTAGTCTGTCAGTGGGTTCTGGCGATTCTGCCTCTTGGACGAGTCTCCAGTTGCTCCTTCCTGTCCTTGTCCACCCTTTCAGCTCACCGGCTCTCACCTGAGTCACCGCACTAGCCTTTCCCGTCGAGCCTCAGTCTTACCCCGCCCCCCAGTCTGCCCTTCCGTTGGCTTCCAGAGCTGTCTTGCTGAAGTATGATGCCTTGCTTTTCACCCTCGGCCCATTGCCCAAAGCAGCCCCCAGGGCGGGGAAGGAGGTAGTAGATGCTGAGCGCAGAGCAGCCCCTGGTCAGGGGTCTGAGAAACAGAGAGTTCGGCAGGTTCCTTCCCCTAGAAACCGGAGTTTGCTGTGCGCCTCGTGACTTCCCCCGAGGGGTGTATAGTATGCAGGCTTTTCCTACCTTATTTGACCACAAATTCTCGTTTTCTTTCTTTATTCTTAGAGCATACTGTGATGTTGGTGTTTTGCTGAACCCACTTCTGAAAACTCTGGCTTATAGAATAAAAGCCAAACTTCTTAGCCAGGCACCTCGCGCTCTGGCCCACCTTCCTCTCCGCCACCGTCGCAGCCCTGTCTGTCCAGGCACCTCGCGCTCTGGCCCACCTTCCTCTCCGCCACCGTCGCAGCCCTGTCTGTCCAGGCACCTCGCGCTCTGGCCCACCTTCCTCTCCGCCACCGTCGCAGCCCTGTCTGTCCAGACACCTCGCGCTCTGGCCCACCTTCCTCTCTGCCACCGTCGCAGCCCTGTCTGTCCAGGCACCTCGCGCTCTGGCCCACCGTCCTCTCTGCCACCGTCGCAGCCCTGTCTGTCCAGACACCTCGCGCTCTGGCCCACCTTCCTCTCTGCCACCGTCGCAGCCCTGTCTGTCCAGGCACCTCGCGCTCTGGCCCACCTTCCTCTCTGCCACCGTCGCAGCCCTGTCTGTCCAGGCACCTCGCGCTCTGGCCCACCTTCCTCTCTGCCACCGTCGCAGCCCTGTCTGTCCAGGCACCTCGCGCTCTGGCCCACCTTCCTCTCCGCCACCGTCGCAGCCCTGTCTGTCCAGGCACCTCGCGCTCTGGCCCACCTTCCTCTCCGCCACCGTCGCAGCCCTGTCTGTCCAGGCACCTTGCGCTCTGGCCCACCTTCCTCTCCGCCACCGTCGCAGCCCTGTCTGTCCAGGCACCTCGCGCTCTGGCCCACCTTCCTCTCCGCCACCGTCGCAGCCCTGTCTGTCCAGGCACCTCGCGCTCTGGCCCACCTTCCTCTCTGCCACCGTCGCAGCCCTGTCTGTCCAGGCACCTCGCGCTCTGGCCCACCTTCCTCTCTGCCACCGTCGCAGCCCTGTCTGTCCAGGCACCTCGCGCTCTGGCCCACCTTCCTCTCTGCCACCGTCGCAGCCCTGTCTGTCCAGGCACCTCGCGCTCTGGCCCACCTTCCTCTCCGCCACCGTCGCAGCCCTGTCTGTCCAGGCACCTCGCGCTCTGGCCCACCTTCCTCTCCGCCACCGTCGCAGCCCTGTCTGTCCAGGCACCTCGCGCTCTGGCCCACCTTCCTCTCCGCCACCGTCGCAGCCCTGTCTGTCCAGGCACCTCGCGCTCTGGCCCACCTTCCTCTCTGCCACCGTCGCAGCCCTGTCTGTCCAGGCACCTCGCGCTCTGGCCCACCTTCCTCTCCGCCACCGTCGCAGCCCTGTCTGTCCAGCCCTTGTGCTCCTGTGGCTCCCAGAACGCGCAGACCCCTTCGCGCAGGCGCCCTCTGCGCCCTTAGCCTGGGCGTCTCCCTTCCGGTCCTCCTCCTGCTGCCTGGCCAAGTGCCTCTTTCTTCTCTCTGTCCCCATTTTCCTAGGGGCCTGTCATGGGCAGGGACTCTGCAGACGGCAGGCTGGGTTTGCCTCCGCTTACGGCATGAAGTATCATCAAACATCCAGAGCGTTTTGAACAGTCTTTTTCTCTAACTAGAATTAGTACGCCATGATGATTTCTTTCCATGTCTGTCTCCAGTTAATAGAAGTGCCAGCAGTACCCGTATGTAGTGTGGTGGCACTGTGCTGAAGCAGACTTTGCCCACAGTGGCCGTCGACGCCGAGGCTCGCTTTCCAGATGAGGAGACTGAGACCGAGACTGGCAAGGTGACTGCCTGCGGTCGCTCCGAGCGCATCTCAGACCTCCCTGTCGGGAGCTCCCGAGGGCCCGGACAGGGTCCCCGGCTGTCCCTGAGGATAGGCTGCGGCGCCTGGAGCGCAGAGGTCCCTGCTGGAGGAGGGCCGATGAGCAAGCTTCCTCGGGGTGTGAAATGCTTTCTTTGGAGTGAAAAAGTGGAGGATGAAGAACTAGAGGTGGGAACTGAAGGAAGCAGCAGGGAGCGAAGTGGTAAACGAAGCAGAGTCAAGGACACGCGCACGTTCTCCCAGAGAGTAGCAGGCGTGGGCTCCATTCCTCAGAGCGAGCCTGTGTGTCCGGAGCGGCACGGTCCCACGGCTCACGTCGCCAAGGCAGTGCAGGGCCTCTTGTGCCCTTACAGCTGCACAGCCGGCCCAGGTGGGGCGGAGCCCTCGACTGGGCCTGGCAGGGTGAGGTCCGAGCTCGCTCGGTAGTTACAGGCACCTTCGCCGCGGTAGCAGAGCGGCCCTCACAGAACTGCGCTGCCCAGACCGAATCCCAGCCAGTCTTCTGGGTCCCTTTTCTTCAGGGCACTTGACAGACAGAAATGAAGCCATGCAGCTATTATTACTGTTCTGCTTTGGGTACTGAACCTGGTCTGTGTGAGCTTAAACGTACTCACCTACAGGTGAGCATCAGTGCAGTCAGTGTGTGGAGATGTCTAGCTCGTCCCAGATGCAGTGGGACATTGGGAAGGCGTTGGGCTGGAGGTGGGGTCCGCCAAACAGTCCTTGCACGTTGCTGCCCCCAGGAGCCGCCTGCCTCTGCTGGGCTGGTGCTGGGTGGTGGCGGGGGGCGGGGCTGCAGTCTCCGAAAACCTCTCCTGGGTGTGTTCTCCCAACCAGAGCAGCCAGCACCTGCTAAAGGTTCCCTGCCCTGCTGCTGCCGCGTGGCCCAGCCCCAGCCCTGCTTTCCAGACCTGGCAGGGTTCCCATCGCAGTCCCACAGGCTGTGCCCTGTCGCTTAGCAGTCACATCCACCACCACTGCCCCGTCATCCTGTCCCCTCACCTGCGGTGCACATCTTTGATGCCAAGCACCAGTAGGCTGATTCCTCTAATAAAGTAGGAAA